AAATGTTCATTGTTTTTAAAATATCAAGTGAGTTAGAAGTCAAAACAGCAGATTGTACTGGCAGACTGACCCACAGCAAGAATCAGATTACTTCACTTCCATTGCTCCGCCCTCCTTCTCTGTCTTTCTCTTGCGGACACAAAAAAAAACCCCAAAGGAAACAAAGACAAGACTAAAAAAAAAAAAAAAAAAGAGGGAGGAGAAGCCACAGCGGCGAGTCGTCCGTCACAATGTAACCATGACAACAATCTCTCCAGCCGTCTCCTGCTGCACCAGCTGCACCTACAGGGGAGAGGATATTGCCATCAGTGCAATATCACTCCTGCTATCAGTTTATCATCTTTAAGGAGGCAGTAGGCCAAGTTTGATTGAACCTGGAGGACTTCAGGTTAAAGCTTAATGGTGCTGTGAGGGACTGAAGTTAATTTTAGTCTTTTATCATTGGAGGAAAATAAACTACACTGTGGATCAGATGTGATTTTTTTATGTTCCAATTACGTGTAGCTGTGTAACCATTAAGTGATGCACTGCGTCCTTTTGGTTATCATAAAACCTAATGTGTGCGTCAACACAGAGAAATGTTGGGATGATGAGGTTGGAGAGCAGAAAACATGACCAACATGAGACAGGATTTCTTTCAATCATGTTTACAGTAATGTATAAGTCAGTGTGTTCTGACTCCTACTGGGCATTTGTGGTATTGAATATGTGCCAAGTACCTCATATTTTCAACCACCAGATGGCGCAAGTTAATCGCCAGTCAAGTTTTTGAAACACATGAAAGGAAATGTTGACAACTGAATGTTTTGGCGTCCAGAACTCAAAGATATATTTTTGATTATATTTATTTAAATAAAAAAATATCTGTTTTGAAAGGTTTCCAACACTGAAAGACCGATAGACGGCCCGAATAACCGTGGTATAAAACTTTCTCCTCTGGATACTGAAGAACAATTGCCTTCAGATAATATGCCCAATTGGTTCTTTTAATTGCACTCACAACTCATTGCGTCATACCGCTGCTAATAATAATTTTTCCACTCTCAACAGCGATTGCATTGGCAGGTTCACTTGGCAGAATGTGCTTGACGTTATGAGGCTGAGTTAAGTCACTATTTTTACCACAAAAAAAAAGGAGGCAAATGAATACCGCAGTGTTACTTTGGCTGTCTTGTAGCACAGAGGCCTGCTATCCTTGTTAAAGCTGACATTTCGGACAGGATGCACTTTATATTCACTAGAGCTCTTCTTACGTTGTCCCTGAACTCAAATTTTAGTAGAGAAGTAAAAATATCTCCACCGTTGGCATCATTGCATAAACAGCGATCTGCCTGCTTTTCCTAATAATTGGATACACTTAGTTAAACAGCTGCATGCGCTCAGGCTTAGGCGGATTAGATCAAACACACACTCACAGATGTTGCTTGTTTCTTCTCACTCGGCCTGCTGGTTTTTCGGTGATTACATAACCTCGTCAGGTATGAGGCCGTGTTTGGAGGACACCATCAATGCCCTCATTGTCCTGATAATATGTCAGCTCTGACTTTGAGGGGCCTCAAAAATGGACATGAACAGATTTTGAGATTAACAGGAACACACTGAGGTTCGCAGAACATTATTGATGATGTGTGTTTTGTCCTGAGCTAAAATGGTGATGTAAGCTTAGTTTGTCACCTGCTTGCCTCTAAAATAAACCTATAGAAGCGGTGAAGCACTGTAATCAGTGTGTGCTTGATGCCTGTAGCTTGTCCATGTAAATACAGTACAGTACGAGTGTCGCTGCCATTGTCTCGCCTCCCCTTTAATCTATAAGCCTTTGTTTACCAAGCGCATGAGGTCATGAGAGAGAAAGAGTCCTGGCAGCGTTGTTCTGGGCTAGCAGGGCTATAGCATTGCAGCACTCCTTCTGATGGGTCGTCAACTACACAACTGCAGGTGAACACACTTATTTACTGAACAAAGAACAAAGGTCCAGTGTGAAAGGTTGGTGGCAAAGGATGGGGGCAAAGAAAACACTGACATGAAGCCATGCTGTTTAGTTCTCAGACTAATGTGGCAGCACAAACATTTTTGTAACGGATGAAAAGGACATGTCTGTAACTGTCTACCTGCTGTGATTTTTTAGTCATCCTATTCACACGGAGGCACGTCTGACATTAAAGTCTGTGTCTGTGCAGTTCAGTGATGTTCAGTTAGCAGCAGCACTTAATGCAACCTCCTGACCTCCTCATGAAACAGTTGATCAAAACTGTCTAATCACTATACTAAGGGAAAAATCATCCATTTCATATTCAGTTTCTGATGGCTTTGTATGTTTGTTTTTTTTGGTTTGTTTTTTTGCACTATGAGCCGCTTTACCAGGCTTTGTTGTTTAACCCTCTGAACCCCCAAAACCTGCTGGCAGATTTGAAAGACATGTTTTGTTTTGTTTTTTGTTTTGTTTTGTTTTGTTTTTAAATGCCAAAATGACACCATTTATCTGTAAAAACATAAATAATCATTTGATTTTTATCCTAATGAAGGTCCTTGAACAAATCATGGATTATGTGTGGCTCTATCAGTTATCCACATTTAACCTTAAAACTGTGGTATTTTATCAAACATTTTGTCCCTTTTTTCTGTATCTGTCATTTTAAAACATCACCAAAAATAACTATATGAATCAGATTCTGTAAAACTTTTTTTCTATAATTCTGTAATCCTCAGCACAACAATGAAGCCATTAGTGACCTAGCTGCAGCCAATACTCACATGACAAAAGTTCAGAGACGTTTCAGCTGAACTGCAGGCCATGTTTCCACCGCACAAACATGAGACAAGTGTAGAAACAAATTAAAAATGTAAGATAGTAAAATATCTATAATATGTAGAGCCATCATTTTTTTCAGTATTGGCAACATCTGTGGACACTTGGGAAAATGTTGGACTTGTTGAGTCCAGACTTTTTCAAATTCTGAAAAATAAATAATCAAAGAAATTCTGCTTTCTTTGTTTCTTTTTTATGATTTATGGCATTTTAATTTTCTTATACTGCACCTATAACATATTTGACTTCTTCTGTCCATGGTGTTATAGAGGTTCAGGACTTCATATTGCAGAAAAATGAATCTACAGGGAGTAAAAATGTAACAGGAGCAAAAAAAAACAAAAAAAAAAACAAGGGTTCAGAGGGTTCCTACAGTGTCAGTTTTGTGATGAAATGGGTTCATGTGCCCTGCAGTCAGCATGAAAGCTCAGTTTTAGTTTCACTTAAAACTAAGCTCAGCCTCCTATTTATGAGAGGGTTCTCTGAACATCAAGCTCAAATAAAGACTCTATTTTTTCCACATGCGGAGGCAGCACTTATTAATAGTCAGCATCTAAGGGTAGAGTTTTACTGTACTTACATAAGAGCACAACTGTATATTATACTCCCAGATTCTGTTTCAAAGTTTAGATTTTTCCTGATTAACAGACATGACACAAACCTGCTGTTCTCGTTCTTTTTTGTGCTCACAGAGTGGAAACACTTGAGTCATTCGCTTCCCCCCTCCGGCCACACTTTGCTGCCAGCAGTGCAGAGTTTTCTCTGACAGCAGCTCACCGCAGCACTCTGGCACAGGAAGCCCAGAGAGGGATGGAGTCATATGCATTACATCATCTCTCAGGCATGTGCAAACAATCTCAAAAACTGGATCTGATTAAAGGGTGCATACGTACACCACCCAGAGCTCCTCCCAAACCAAAAAGGTCCATCTATCAGTTCTTAACTTGCTCTTTGAACTTGAGATTTGGCATGTCTGCCTAAAAGCTAGAATTCAGAAGTTACACACAAAGTTTTGTGAATACGCTTGTGGGATGAATCTTAAGGGTGACAATGTCAGTTAGTCTGTCAACCACCATGTTCCCCAGAGGTTAGATCTTGCTGGCTTTGGTGATCTACTCTCATCACCAGTATCAGATTAAATGTTAATTCATGCAGTGGTTTATGACCAAACATCTGCCTCACAAATGACATGTATCATCAGCCTCAGCTATGCTTTGTGCTAATTAGACATTAAACTATGATTATCAAAGACAAAAAGGATTCTGTGTGTATTTTTACAGGCACAGATGTGATGCATAAAGGCCTCCCACATAGCAGATCAACTAGGCCAGAGTCACAGTTTGCATGTATGTGCCAGGTCTGCCTGTCTGCTCATTGCATATGAATTTAGCGTAGGATCGCAGATGGGATTTGAAAGAGCTCCAAGGAAGACTGTAATGGAAAAAGAAACCTGAATCAAATATAGGCTTTTATGTAACAAAAACTGATTATTAAAATCTAAAATGAAGCAATTAAAACACATCTTATTACCATTTGCAACCAATCGTGGATAGTTGTCATCAAACTTTACCTGAACTTGACCATAAAAGAACTATAAAATCACAAAGCTGCCACTCTCTTTTCTTACCTGCGTAATTTGCATTTAATCAGTCTTTATGAAATTTGTTAGAAGTTTTACTAAATCAAAAAAACATGTAAGTAGATTGCATTATCTTAACATCCACATCTTCTCCACATTCTTCTTCATCTGTCTTGAGTGCATTTTGTGTCATTATTTTGTGATATAGCTCATCTTCTCTTTGTTTTCTGTGTTTATTGCTCAATAAAAAATAAAAAAAAAACACCTCATCTCTATGCTATTTGCGATAATTAAATCTACTTTTTCTCAGGTGTTGGCCAAAGCAAATAGTCAAAACTACAACATCATTTATTTCTGTGCTTCGTGATCTCATGGAAATCCCACCTTTGAACTGGAGTGCATACGGCTGCAGGAGGAGCTCATATGTCATCGGCTGCTGCTTTAATCAGGCGCTCAATAGATGAAAACATCTGCTCCAAAATGTCGGACAGAATTATGAATATTCACGAGACATCCAATACATTTTAGGGCTCCCTTCAAATTCTGTAATATAGAATGTATGCCATGCTAAGGAGCATATATATTTAAAAAAAAAAAAAAGACTAAACAGGGGCACACAGTATGTAAAAACATTTATTGTTTAAGATGTCTTATATTCAGCAGTGCGTTTTACCAGTCCTGTGGTTTTAAAATAATACATAATCCTTGTGTTAACACCTGGGTTTTTGTTTTAAGGTACAAAAAAATCTCAGCAGTGACTCGTGTAGATTTATGTGGTACACACATGGCAATATGTGTGTGTATGTGTGTATGTGTGTGTGTGTGTGTGTGTGTGTGTGTTTGTGTGTACACTTTGAATTTGAGATGGCATTTTACAATTAATATACATATTATGAATCACAGATTATTATTAACAAGCCCAAGCAAAGAAGCAGTTTACCGCTTTAGCCGACTGTCCACCAGAAAAAATACAGTAATGTAAAAACAAAAACTTCCAAGGAGAAATTACTAGCAGATATGTTTGTGGAAAACGTACACAGATATAAAAACCCAAAGTACAACTCTTGTCCGAAGGAATGTGAGGCTGATGGAAGAACATTTTTGGTCAATAGAAACATGATGTTCACGAGTGATGACTTCATGCCAGCATATTGTTCCTATTACACATAAACAGTATATACAGGTTTCAAGTAACCCCTGAATTAGTCCTGTTCTAACCATCTCAAGCAGGTCAGTGTACTCAACAAACCGTGTTACATAATAAATGACATGCTACTGTTGAAAGAGTCGGTGTGAAGAGAAGTTAATTTTAAGACTTTCATTAGGGAGCCATAGTTCAAAGAAACATTTCACAAGCAGCCGCAACCTGAGAAGTAAGTTTCACACAAATCGTTTGCCAGCTCTTCCTCGCATCTCACTCAACTACTTGATGAACATTTGGCTATGAACAGCCCACTGAAAAGAAAATATATATATATGTTCAATGGCATAGCATGATCTAAAAATGTCTCCTTTCCTACCAATAACCATTAAGTCCAATATTGATACTTGAAGCACTGCATGTGTTAGTCTTTGGCATGGTTAAGCAACAGAGAAACTCAGTGTGTTGAGCAGACATCATTCGTAAGAGCAGATCAAAGCCTTTTTCAGCCTAGACTCCGGCTGATGTCATGTTCCTTTTACAGTACAATCTGACTTTTACTTGGTCCAAACTATCAAAACTTAATCAGAATTTCATGTGAGCAGATTAAAGTGACCATCAGAGTCTGAACAGTATCAAAACAAGACTTTAGTTGGAATAAAACAGTAAAGCAATAACAAAATAAGATGCACTGAGGGTTACAGTATATATTTTCGAGGGAGTGAGCAAACAGTATAGAACTGTCATTAGCAGACTGAACATGGTCAAGCATCTTGTTTTAGGATGACTACAGTATCAGGCTCTAACTAACCAGAACTTCTTGCACACACCAAACAGTCATGCTGGCTTTACAAGGCAACTCCAATAAACAACGCCTGAAAACCACACTGCTCATGCAATGAAAAACAGCAATTTGCTCAGAGACGTCAGAGCCAAGAGTCATTACTGCTGGTTTTTACATGGAAACAGACATCTGTACAGTCATACAAGGTTTATAGGCTAATCGTCATGGCTACGCTATAACCGTTCTGCTCCCAGCAGACTGGCCTGGCCTTGAATCACATCACTTTCAAGTCCAGGCATCAACTTGAGAGCTACCCCCATCGTACGAATGACAAACTCCAGTTCTGGTTCGATACAGAAATCCCACATTAAGTTTCAACCTCGATAGAAAACCATCAGAATACAGGACACAGGGGTTTCTCAATCGCTAGTTACTGTTTTTTTTACAAAGCTGTTACTGTTGTTCCTGTTACTTAGTTTATGATTAGTTTGCATGATTATAACATTGTATAAAAGGAGAAAAGGGGAAAAAAAGCAAGTAAAAAGTCTGGACAGGCAATATAAAGGCTCAAAAAAAAAGGAGCAGCTGAAATGAAATGACTAAAAACTAATGAGATTTACACCTTCAAAAACAACATCATAATAAACATAAGTATGAACATGTGTATAGGAGAGGGCAATTCCAGTTATTTCCCTTCTTCTCAGATGTATGTTCTGGTTTTTGCGCGCCTTGCCCCGTAGTTTGGCACAAGACTAAAGTTTCCACACAGTGAGATGAGACCAGGGCATTGGCTGAAATTATTCCACGCGATGAGATGAAAAACACAATTGGCTGGGAGACAGGCTGGGCTACGTCCCTACAGGTCGCCTTCCACTCGCCTCCTGCGGACTGGAGAGAAGAAAAATGCGAATCAAAACCACCTTTAACCTTCACAGGCCTGTTAGTTTATCAAGAAGACATGAGTCATGTTGAGCTATGCGGTCAAAGTTTACGCCTATCTCAACGGCGTGTGTCAGCGTGTACAGAAAACCAGAAGTGAGACGTCGTCACTCTCAAAGCTCACACGACGTCAACATTCATACTGTTAATGCGGTGAGTACTCCAGTCAAACGCTGTGAAAGAAATCTCTGTTATTATTGATGCATTGACACACTTGGGAGCCACACCCATGCATCAGACCTGTGCAGCTCTGACAGCAGGAGGAGCTATAAGAGAGAGCAGATTTCTTGATATATCACGGAGTAAGAAACTGAACAGATGTTTCAGCTTGGTACGTCACTACAGTATGTCATAACTTTCCCATAAAAAACAGACAGCAGGTGGAAGGCAATATGATTAGGCAATAACTCACTCAGATTTTTTGCAAGTTTAAACACAGCTCAAATTGTTGTGTGTGCGGCATACCCAGGTCGTTGTTCTTGGTGATAGCTGCGGCGGCTCTGGATCGAGGTCCTTGCTGGGTGAAGTGGTAGCCGAACTTCACTATGCTGTTGTTCTCCTCCAACATTTTAGCTATCTCCATCTCTATGGTCGTACCCAGCTGCTGCCTCTGATGCACACACACAATTACACAGAGGTCAACATCTGTACATCAGTGTCACAGCTTCACTGTGGTTCATGTCAGAAAAGACTAACACTCAGGGTCGGACCACATGGACTCGGTTTATCTTTTTTTCCACTACTGGAAACTCTCAACTAGTCTTTTATGGGTGTTTTTTCAGGCAGTGGTTTGTGTTGATTGGCATTTTCTTCAACTGCATACCACGAAATACAAACATTTCCAACTACTTTAGGCTGCATGAAACCCCTGTATTTAAAAAAAGTGCACAGGCTTACACGGTCATAAAGTCCCTGCAGTGATGACAGAAACAAAAATAAACAAATGAACAAGAATAAATATTAAAAAATTTAAAAATGGAATTCTATATAATTATAATTGTACCTGGTTGTCTATCTTGATCTCTGTGAGTGTGTCATTATCTCGCAATGCATCTACCAAAGCCTGCACGCCCGCCCCGGTGATGAAGTTAGACTCCAGATTCAAACTGCGCAGCGTCTTGTTCTCTCGCAGCATTTCACTGAACGCCTAAGAAAGAAGGAGAAGGGGGGAAAAACAAAGCAAATGTAGCATCAATTTGTGTGTTGTCAGGTGTCGACAAAGCAATTTATAAACACAAATCCTTCCCATCTTACCACAGCTATCGGGTCGTTACTCCGCGTTGCTGCCAGGCTGAACTTCTTGACTTGCGTGTTCTTCTCCATGGCTTTGGCGAAGTCCTTCAGCGTGGGAATTGGAATGTTCTGAGGGGAAAAACAAAGTTTAAATGACTTTGGTGCTGGGATTTACACACACGGACACTCTTAGGGCCCTGGGCTGTTGTGCTTCTTCTCCCTTTTATGGTGGTAACTATTTTTAGCTTGTATGTAAATTTCTAGACCCTCTGCTCGCCAGATTGGACCAGAACTGCAAACCACTTCCACTAGCCACATCCACCTGCACACCTGTCCTTAAAAGCACCGCCAGTTCGTCAGCTTGTGCATAGCGTGCAGCTCGTCTCCATGTTTTTTGTGTTGAGAAAACTGTGAATTTGAGACACTAGTTCAAAGAGGGTTTGGACTAGCTCAGGGACTTCCTTTTAGGTGAAAGCAATTTGTAGTTTGCAAAAGAAGTGTTAGACACTGAACAAGGGTGCTACTACTTTGGTACTTTTGTTTTAGAGAGCACAGGGAAGTCAGGATTTGATTTTTGAGCATTTATTTTGTTAATGCAGCCTAGGCCAGTGTATTTAACTCCATGTGCACCTTATGTTATGTCATTCTCCTTAATCTGAGCAGCATCTTCTGCATCCACCAGGCTGGTATCTTTGCTACTTCCTTTACCAGAAGCAAGCATAGTTGTACAACCATGAAAGCTTGTGTTTACGTTTACCTTGATGTTGTTGAGGTTGACCTCTGTTAGGGAGCTGTCGTTGCTTTTTATCCTCTGCAGAGTTTCTTCTACATTGGTGGGATTGGGTGGCTCGTCAAACACTGGGTTCATCTTTTCCCCTTTGATCACATCTAGAAAACACACAGGCAGAGGTGAAGATCTTGATCCTTTTGGGACTTTTTTTTTTTAATTACCAAATTTAACTGATCAAATTGCCAATCATACTCACTGTTGTAAGACTCTTTAGATCCAGTTCTCTCATATGTCTGACTACTGGTGACCAGTGTGTGAACACCCAGGATTGCTGAAAACCAAAGCAAATCACAGAATGAGCAGCTGTGGCAGGGAACCAGCACGTGTTTTCCAGTGCTCAGTGTGAATAACAGTAACTAAATCTACACAGCACAGCAGACAAGTGGTGTTGTTTTGTTAGGTGAGCCTTTTCATTCCCCCTATCAACGCACACAGTAAAAGTCGAAGCCATGGGAATGACATGAAAGGAGCTTGTGTTTTACTGTCACAGCAAAGACTGAGCTCAGCCTCCTACAGAGTTATGCTTGTTAATGAAGACATCTTAACTTTCTCAAAGGTATGTATTCATTCTTACCTGCTAGATCACCGAGTTCTGTCTCTGTGGCACTGGACAGAGCTTCTTCTAATTCTGGATCAAGGGTTGTGACTTCCTCCTGGCGTGTTTCTATTGGTTTCTGCTTCGGAACAAATACTTTACCTATGGACAAACAAAGACAGAAGGATTGTGGTCAGGTTCTAAACTTAAAGGAGATAATTCAGCCCTAAAAAAAAAAAAAAAAAAAAAAAAAATTGGGCAGACGACATTACCACAAAGACAGAAGAAACAGGTACAGGCAGGCGGGTGACTGTTTTATGAGATGTTACACAACCTCCCATTTCTATAAAAAAACAAAAAAGTTCAACTGTTGGTTAATGTGACTTGTTATTCTCCAAAAAACATTTGTGTTCTCCTGCCGTTAAGGCTGCATGAATGCCAAGTGTTGTGAGTGTGCGTGTCTACAAGAAAATACCAGCTATACAAATAATAAACACACTTATGTTCAGAAATATATCTTAAAGGCAGAATACAGTTTCACACTCTAACAAGGGCTTAATACACAGTCACGTGTACCCAATTAACTACAAAAATATACTTAGAAGCACTCAAACTGACATTAAACACAGAATAGGACGATAGTATATTTAAACAATGTCTAAACAGGTTATCAAAGCCATATTTACACTATAGCACGCATTTAGCACTTACTTTCACTTCGGTCTCGCTACAGATGAGCAGGTATCAAAATAAAATAACTACAAAACATAAAGACTTTCCGACAGCACTTGACCCACACTAATCAGGGCTTGTTTATTGAGTCTCTGCACATTTAACTTTTTTCTCTGATATCAGACAGCTAAACTTTGGTTCTATCACTACTGTCTCTTGGGCTTTACTTTCATAAGTTTTTTTTCAACATTGTGCCACACTAAAATAAATAATGCAGATTTCTTTTTTTACATGCAGTAGATCAAAAATCTGCACTGATAAAGTGATCAAATCTTATTTTCTCTTACTGGTTTAATTGTAATTGAACATGGTATTTTTTTTTTTAAATGCAATTGAAATTCTTGTTTCTTATAATATTGGTAATGTTTTTGTAAAGACAATCTGAGGTCTGAGCAACAGAAGTGTGTTGTTTAAAGTCTGGGCCTCCTGCTGTTTTACACAGCATTACCAGCCATCAGTGCTTCACATTAGCTGAACTCGGTCCAGCCACGACTGTTTGACAGCTATGGTATTGCCATAGTAACCCATCAGAGGGAAGAAATGGAAAGCGCAAAGGAAGTCACGGAACAATGACTTGAGTCTAATCTAAACTGCACTGCTGGGGCAACAAACACTTGCACTGGACAGAGAGACCATCCAGTGGGTGCCATTTGCTGCCTCTCGATATGCCTGTCTCCCTGAACAAAAACACCCAAAGAACAGGCCTCCCCCTCTTAAGTCAGTCAGACCACTCAAACTGTTCAAACTGCTCCCTCGTGGGGGCTCTGGCACTTCCTGAGAGCGAGCAAACAGTAAATACAGTCATCAGGCAGCATCCTGTGCCAGTCCCTCTGGAGCGACATTTAACCCGTCAGAAATGAGGGAAGCTTGGGCCAAAAGCCCGGCACCCTGAAGTCTTGTCATCTGTGTGATCTCGTAGGAACATAACAGCATAACTGAATGAGGAAATCACATTCGGATGTGACATGCTAAAGCAACAACAGAATCAAAGCAGACAGGCACTGATAATACTGTATATAATAGACTGTAACTTGCAAAGGGCTGAACAGCCTGAACCCTTGGAAAATATACATTGTACAACAATAATGTAAAACAAACTGCACTTTATTTAGGTAGTGCAGCAGATTTTGTCATTGCACAGAAAAATGCATTTTGTCAATGTCACCTCCCTTGAATATTTGAGCTCCACTCTAAAAAAAACAAAAACAAAAACAAAAACTAACTGATCATCTACAAAGACACAGCGAAACCATGACTTCCTAACTACAGCATTTAGAAGTGAAAACTACATTGAGGACACCCAAAATGTCAGTGTAATTAATCCCTCATTGCAAAAGGGAAAACTGTGCACATTACACACAACAAGAGCAATAGAATGGGTCAACTGAACCAGTAAATTGTTTTGCAAACTCACTGGTGTTTGAAATCAACTCTTGGCCTTTGCTTACGCTTCCAAATAATTTCGGCTGATCTGCAGGTTTGGTCATCTCAATACCAGATCACAGCGGTGGCCTTGGTGAGGTAATGACAGATATGTAGCAATAAAAGTGGGAATATGGAGCAATAAATCGACTGTGATAAAGCAGAATAATCCTCTAAACTGAATCGAGTCTGTGTTAAAGTCAAAGTTATTGATGAAGCACATTTAAAACTATTGGAGTTGGACTAAAGTGCTGTGTGGTTAAAATAGAAAGCCAAAAAAAGATAATAAAACAACATGACAAAAAGACAAATTTGAATAAGAATAGATACAACACAATAAGAAGTGAGGGTGTCAAGCACTACTTCCAATCAAACGCCAAAAAAGAGGTGGGGCTTAACCAGCAACTCGAGAAGTTTCAAGAGGCTGTAAACTGTTCCAAAAATGAGGGGCAGCCATGGCTATTTCAGTCTGAGACACCTTATTTGAGAAAAACCGTTGCATATCCTGCTATTTCTGACCATCTTTTTGAACAAAAAATGTCTATTATGCTTAAGTAAATAAACCCCCAATTAACAAAACGGCTTACAAATATGTTTTTCATTTTTAATTCTTATCATTTATGAAGAAAATGTCTATGGGACACACTTCAAACATTCACCTTACAGGAAAAAGCTTGAGCACCATGATTACATCTTGTGCAGTAAGTCCACAGTAACCGATTTACTGGCCTCCCAGCATTACATCAGTATATTTTCTTGCTGTACATGGATGCCTAATGCGACAACCGTGAAAGCAATTCTTAAGAAAACTAGACACACGTGGTGCAGAGCAGCTGAGTGTTTTCACTTCTGAAACAGCCACACCTTCAGCTGTAACCTCAACAAACACAGTGTTTATCAGGCTGGAACCAAAATGCTTTAAGTAAAATTGTTTTGCTCTGAGACTAAATACCAATAGTGTTCATCTTCCAAAATACAATAATACTATGTTTCTTTCTTTTCTACAGATTATGAGCTTTCATCATCATCACCAAAGTTAATAATGCTGCCAAACCCTACAGCAAATCAAGGACGAACAGAAAGAACAAGCATTAAAAAAAGAAGATTATTGAAATATATTAAGAAGGACTGACCCGATACAATGAATTTAAGTCAGAGCAGGGTTGCAGTGGTTGCCATGGCATTTAAGCAGGCTGTTTTTCCCCTGAAATTGTGTGTGTTAGTGAAACAAGAGACAAACACACTCGTGGCCACATTATTAAACAGCAGGGGGTGAGTATAACAAGGGAAAGAGAATCAGCCACATTCCACAGAACCGCCACGGTAATGTGAGTTTTCCATGTCGTCATAGACACACACACACACACACACACACACACACACACTCACACACAGATGGAGCATGATTTCTAACAGGCCACGGTTAGGTCAGGGGCAGATGTCAGTTCCATATTTCCTCTCCAATGAGGGAGCAGCTTTCAGCTCTCTAGAGATTCCAACAAAAGGAATTCCTTCCTTTGGAAAAGAATTTCTCCCCAGTAATGTTGTTTTCCTGTCATGTTGTCACATAAAAAAGTCATCTTTGTCTCTTCTAAAAAGTACCACAAGTATGTCTCAAATACCCTGTTTGAACACAATAGGTTTCCCTGAGAAACATTAATCCCGTCTGGTTCAGCAGTGGGCGTTTATTGCACCTCTTCTGGGGAAATTCCTGCTCAACATCTAATGTGTTGTGACAAAAGCTCAAGAACGCTCTGACAAGTACATTCCCCCCTCGGTCACTTCCTGATATTACACACTGTTGTGATGATGCATCCCACATGCGATGCCTTATTGCTTCTTCAATGCCCGTACTACAGGAACAGCTGCCTGTTAAAAAGCCCACTTATATAACTGGAAATATTAGAATAACCAGCTTTAATGGCTGCGAAATAATTGTATAGCTAAGACATGAGCACAAGGTCCACAGCTGGTGAGCCACAATGCTACGTGTTCATTGATTTAAATTACTGAGGAAAGCCAAACACATTATCTGTGTCATACGAAATCACCTCCCATTCAAAGGCTTTAATCTCAGATTTGCATTGCTTCTTGTAAAATAAAACGCCTGAGCTTTAAGCAAATCGAGTCAAGGTTAACCCATCTCTAGAGACTGAGCCAACATCAAAATAAACAAACCTACTGACTAACATCAATAAAAACATAGTGTCCAGACATTAAATCCTAAAGTTGCCTCCTCCTTTGACACTCCCTGCCTCCGATCCCCTGGTGCAAACACACCTCCCCCACACTGCTGTATGTTGCATAAGACCAGACATGCATTAATAATACCTGCAAAGACAGCAGAACGGTAATTACTGCCGTGTTTGTCCTGCTGATACACACACGCTGGCACAACTTGGCTCTCTAACCCCTGATAAACACAATACTACCATTTTATAACCACATCATTGATGTTACTAATGCTCCACAAAAAATACCATCAAAAACAGAATTTCTCTGTGATCATTTCAACTACAAAGCTTTTCTCAATTGGAAATCAGCATCTTCTTCTCCCTGTAAGCATTGAGGTTTTTTGTTTTTTTTTTATTAAAGAAAAAGGCCCAATAAAAATAAAATATAAATCATGTGTAATCAAAGTCAAGATTTATGTAGCCCAAAATCACAAGTCATAAATGTCTTAAATGGTTTTTTAAATATTTACTGAATACATTTGGGATTCTGAAAATACCTACAGCTTGGCACCTTCTTCTCATATGCATCTTGTATTTACATACTGAACCTAAACATGTTTACATACAGCAGGACCTTGCATGCACTTTCTGCACAACTTTAGGTCATTACATTTTCATATATGTTCAGCAATGTGCAATCTCCAGAAGTGCAACATCAGTTCTACTACAGTTTTTGTAGTTCTTAATTCACCAAATAAGCTATCCTTACAACAACAACACACTATATCATTGTTTTCATAGACTACTCTTGTATGTAGGATTTTTCTACTAGATTTTTATATTTGCACATTTCTTACTGTACTTTCTTTTTTTATGTCACATTTTATGAATGCACTGATAGGACTGCCGTTTTATTTTGTTGTACCATGTGCTATCCCAATAAAGGAAATGTGTTCTATTCTGTTAAACCTCCTCCATCCTAAGAACCTTAGTTAAGTTTTTTTTATTTTAAACCTCTTAAAATTGGGTGGAAACAAAGAAAGCAATTACAGCAACAGAGAAGGAATCTTTCTTCTAGCATCTGCCTCATCACCAAACTGTAAGACTTAAGTGAACAGATCTTTCCCAACCATCTAAATTTTGATTTTGAATCCTTTGGAATTTGTTAACCCCCTTGAAATGACTCTCTTTGAGCACTGTATGGCGCTCCACTGGGGACAGCTGCAGGACAAAAAGTAACACACCTTTTTTCTCCCCAGTGAAGGGCACTATATCCTCTCTGTCCTTGTACTCCATGGCTTCCTTCTCCAGGTATTTGAGCAGACTGTCCCTGTCGAATGGTCCTGTATCTGTCTTAGCCGTCTGGTCCTTCTGACGTAAACCCGCTGGGAGGAGAGCATTCTGTGGAGAGGACACGAGCAGCCACGTTAGACCTGTCGACTGAGGAAGACTTGAATACACTCACTACTGATTAAAAGTCTTCAATCTGTAGACAGCTAATGCTAAAGCATGTTTTTGAGCTTTGAATGTATCTCTATACTTAATATCTATTCATTCAAATGATGTGAGCATTTCTAAAAACAGTAGCATGCATTAAAAAAAAAACAAAACACACACACACACACACACACACATACTGCTTTCCAGTATGGCTCCACAGCAGTTTGTGACATCGGAGTGTCTCTCTGACAGTACTTCCATCGCTATGGCATCAAATTTCTTAAAGCATGCTGCTCTACTCTGAAAGCATTTTTTTACAATTAAGAAGCTGGCAGACGCAGGTTGAAAATGCAGCCTACTCCAAACTAAACAATATCTGGAATGTTCACAAACTTCTGCCAGATAGTGCTGCAAGCAAATGCCAACATATCTTTTGCATCCTCAGGTTTGTGTGGTAGTTAGCACCAGGAGTATGGGAGTCACACAGGAAACAAATATGAATTACAAGCTCCTGAAAATGGGGAGTAAACATTCAGCGAACCAGTTTAACTTGATGCATGGCTTTAAAGCGTAACATAAAAATGCAATCAGTTGTAGACCATTTGTTGTAGGTGAGTAAAAGCTTGGCAGAGGTGAACACGGATGTGTGGAAATCTAGAGAAGTATGAGTCAGCCTGTGCTCACTACAGCTATTCAAACCAAATGCAATCGCACACCAAAATTCACTTTGTCTCTTTAATGGCATGAGATCCAGGAATTAACATTTTCCCACTGATGCCGAGTGTTTCCTGTGGGCCATGTGTGGTCACTATATAGGGTGGTTTGCCTCACTCAGCCTAGATGGAATATAAATAAAATGCTCAGAGTCTTGGGAGGGATTTCGTTATATTCTACAGTCAGTTCTACACAGAAATAAACATGAAAACACTTGGCAGCCTGCAGACAGAGCTGCTGCAGCTTTTAAATTATTTTTCCAACCACAGCAGCTGTGAAGTGGGAGGTTTTTACAATTCACTAGACTTATTACAAACCTGACAAGAGGCATTTATTTGTTCATACCAGGTAAAATTAGGTGCAATTCCTGTGAAAACCAGGGTCTAACACTATAGCGTGTCCCTTACTTCTGGTTGCAAACAGTTTAACAGATTTTATGAGTTCAAAGAGTGCATGAACTTTTTTATTCCTCAAACAAGCCATTTTCTGATAAATCCCTTTCCTCCCACTAAAGAGCCCTGGAGCTCTTCCAACTCTCACTGATTCCTGACCTCAGGGTCCATCTCCTCAAGGGCCGTTTCCAGCTGTTTGAGCTCCTCCGCCGACAGTTTGTTGAGGATTTCATCTTCATCGAGATCCTTGTACTTGTCCAGATCTTTCTTGTACGGCAACGCCATGGTGCTGGCTAAAGCTTCCTAAGCAACACTGAACAGCAGACGAAAGCCACACTGCTTCTTCTTGGGATTACTGCTCCAGATCAGGGAGAGGCTACCTGAAGAGAAACATGTGGAAAACACACATGCAAGTTCATTAGAAGATTGTGTAAAAAAAATATATATTTTTAATTTATCTGTCTCAAACAAGGAAATGTACTTGTATTTTACAGGCTGAGGTAAACACTGTTTATCTCATCCTTGTGAAACAATAGTTGATCACAGCTGGGTTGGATAACAAGGCCTTGTGATGATGCAACACACACACACACAGCTGGGACAAAGAAAGAACTTTCTCAGGCTCCAGCAAATCATCTGACTGCTCTCATTAGGATCACCAACAAGTCTCTGCTTACGCCAACTTTGTGCAAGTTTCTAAAACATTATCACCCTAAAAGACAAAACAAAATAAGCTTATTCTAAGGAACAGAGGAATGACTGTGTATATTTTTCTTTTGGGACTGAAGGCCTAGAACATAACATGATAGTTAAGATTAAATAAAGCTCAGATAAGTAAATGAGTGGGGACTGAGTGTGTGTCCTGTCAAACAAAATGAAGAGGCGTCAGCCTTCAGTTCCCTCTCCCACGCCACAGTCCGAACACAAGATGACCTCATCATTTCCAGCTTCCCCGCTGGACTCCACAGATGGTCTTTCTCCTAATCACTCACACGCACAATTAACTGTGAATGCATTTAAACTTGTTTTGTCCAAAAAATAGTCTAACATTATAGTCAAAGTTTTTGCAAGAGTAATACATCTATGTGTTTGTGTATGTACAGAATTTTGCATTAATGGTTAATTGCACAAGTAATTTTCCAGCAACTGAGCTGAAGAACCTGTCTGCAGTTGCTACCTGTAGATGGCCCGGGCATACAAAGGAATATTCCACCAGCTCAACTCATTCATGTCAACTGTAAAATACAGCACCATCCCTAACCTCGCTAAAAGAATCAACCCTGTGGTTTAGCCAAGGATTCTTTAAACACATAGTGCCATTTCCCTGGAGCTGCCTGGCTGATTTCTCCACTCCAGAGAATTTCCTCAGGAGTCCGACAGTGCCTGTGTCTCTCATCCTGTCTTCACAATCCAGGCTCTGTCCCGGAATAATTCCTCCCCTCACCTCCAGCATTAGTCCACTACAGCTCCACTCATTTATTTTTCAAATGATTATGAGTCAGATCAGGAGCATTTGCAAGCCTGAGTGCCAGCAGATGAAGCTGAGCTCAAATGTCAGCACTGAGGACTTTAATCAAAGCGTATAAATGTAATGACCAACAATAATAATCTCACCCTACTGTTCTGCTGTACAACAGCCTGATCAGACCCTGGAAAACAGCGTCCGCGCAGTACTATCTCGTGCACTCCCACTGCAGGATATCATTACTGGTAACAGTAAGGAAGGAAATCAGTCATTCAAGTTGAAGCGAAGCTAAGCTCATGGTGCATGACGAGTAAAGTGGTAGTGAAACAGTACAAATGGATATCAAAGCAGCAACAGGCATGTTTTCTTGCTTTAACTTATCAATATGGGGTAAATGTAATGATTATAGAATAAAGATATCATCAGCATTTGGACTGGTTCTCCAGAACTATATCATTCTGCCTGCCACTGTGTACGAAATCTCCTGAGAAAATGAAGGCTCCATTTATGGCACAAAGTAAATGCGATGGCACAATCAAAACAGGAAGACGCAAGCGATTTTGCTCTCCCCAGTAGCTATCAGGAACTTTTCCCCAAGTAGATAAAATATCAGAAAGTGGAAAAACAAGAGTAACTGTGACCCTGTTGTCAGCAGGATTCAAATAAGGAGAAGAGGGAGGGTGATAGAAACCAAGGTGAAAAAGAGTGACCAATGGACAAGTATTCAGCCACCGGAGAGAGCTTTGAGTTCAAAACCAACATCCAGTTGGCAATCTTTCTGCTACATGAGGAAGCAAACTTTCTACAAGCTTTCTTGCACATGTAAAAGGTCTGCAAACTTAAAAAGCCTAAAGTCCACCTCAAGGGAGTCACTCTCTTACAAAGTAAACACTGCTCCTTAGGTGTCTAAAGCACCTCATTTAAAGTCCAGGCTTTTCTTCTGTATCTACGTCACCATGTAATACACTTCCATAACATCTAACTAGTGGCTAGTTTGACCACACCTTCAAAAAGAAAATGAGAAGCTGCATCACAGTCAACCATTATTTCGTCATTAGAGTCGTTTCTGGTAGAGAGACATCCTCTACTGGTATGCTGTACGTAGCCATCGTTGCCTCACTTTCGTTCAGCCCGCTGACAAATCAGAGCAGACTGGGCTTTATTATTATGCATTTTTGGAACATTTGAGAATGTTAACATATTGTAGTAGACCTTAAAAATAAAATATTAAATCTATAAATGTGCATAATGAGTTTTTCCAGACAACCTACTGTTTTACTCTGCCTTTATTCTGGCATTGAGATTGAGGTTTGTATTTCAAATGGTAATGGTTGTTTTTTGCTTTGGTGAGTAGCCAGGCTGCAGTTGTCACGTTTTGTGTCCTTCTAGACTGTAAAGAAACTGGAAAGTGATCCGATCTTTGCAACAGCAGCGATAGCAGTAGAAGTAATATTCTAACTTCTGTGCTTGACATAAAAACAGCATTGGTGACAAGCTATCAACACACAGCACTAAGCTAGAGAGCCCACACACATCCTAATAAGTTTCAACTTTAGAATTATGTCTAGCAAAATAAAACCCATGCAATTTTTTTTTTGCAAACGCAACAGTAGTCGCTTGTGCTGTGTCCATGGAAAAGCAACCAGGATTTGTTTGTGGATTGTTGAAATGCCTAAGGACACTAAAATTATACAGAGGTTGGACTTTAATTATGAGTATATTCTGCCCTTACAGCTGGTCAGGTTTCCAGAACCTAAAAACATGTTTGAGATGGAAAAAGGCCAAAAAGCCTTATGTACAGACCTAGCTTTTTTTTCATTTACTTTAACACAGGTCAGATCTTTGCTTGCTGATGAGCATATAGAAAGATTTCCCTGGACGTATAATGTATGATTTATCTGTGAGTGACCTGAAGGTAGGATAAGTTAACCAGACAAATTCTCAGATGAGCAAAAGGGCAATAATATGACATTTCTGCCCAGGAGCTGGAAAAACCAGAGACTACAGCCTGGGTTAAACACAAGTCACACACATGCTCTTAAGACAAGATCAGCTCAAAATAACACCATTTGCCACATTATCCAACTGTCCCTCACTTTCCACTTCACTGACAGATTATTCACCACATTTAAAACGCCAGCCACCGTCCACAGTGAGGCCCAAAACTTTTGAATGTGCACACAGAGGGGTAATGGAGCATGCAGACAGGGATAATGATTGTAATGGGTGGGCCCAGGCTGAGGTGGAGACACTGAGAGGATCCATTAGTCCAATCTGATTGATTCCTTTCTCCTTCTTCTCTCCACTAATCCTCCAAGACAACAACAGATGGCGCAGAGCCAATAATACTGCAAACCTGTCTGTAGTCTACACTCACCTTGAGCTTTCCTTCACTGACCTGCGCACTCAGGTCACTGGCCAAAGCCACAAATATCACAACTTACAGGCTAGATGTTTTGTGCTTGTTTTTCTCCCCCAGGACTGCAATAAACAGTCTGAAATGAAGAGCAGAGCTATGCATAACCAAAGTGAGAACAACTTGTATCCTTGAGAATGTGCATTACCACAAAAATTCTGTTTTTAATGCTGACAACTCAGACAAAATAAAAGATTGGTAGGCCACAAAAACAAAATTACATAAAGTTACACTGGGGATAGAGTTTTCTTTCTGCTTCTTTCGTAGGCAAACTACTCACCACATTCTTTGAGAAATTAACTTATAGGGAAGGCATGGGTGAAATGTGAAATATCTGTCACCACTACCTCCAATATAAAATGTATGAACTTGTCGGTCAAATGGTGAGGCTCTATCTTGGTTCAAGAGGGCGAAAATGTCTGATATCACATTATATACTTATAAGGATATCAGACGCCATTCCAGATATCCCTGGCATATATTATATAACCTTTATCAGCTAAAAAAAAAAAGTCATTAAGTTTATCTCTGCCAGCCATAATTCTTGCATGAAATATCCAGGTTGCTAGAGCTATTTAGATCTCAGAGGCACAAGCTGGAAGAATAGTAATTTGCAACTCTAAGATTAACAGGAAGCACTGACTGGTACATTATTATAGAACACCACCCTAACATCGCACAAAAGGACTATAGTTAGAATGACCCAGCTATGCTACTCCTGGGACAGGACTCTGTACTTCCTCCTCCCACCTACTCTCCTCCAGTTTTATTCTCTCCCCTTCATCTCTCCACCCTGTTGTTACTCACTTCTCCTTGATCGTTTCTGTGTTCAGCCTCCTAAGGTGCCTAGTCAGAAATGATAGAAACCAGATGGAGGGAGACAAAGATAGCAACACAGGGCCTAACACTGAGATATGCGCACTCCAATACATAAAAAAAAGTAAAAACAACAACATGATAGAGGTGTCAGGGGAATAAAATGTGTCTAAATAGTTATGCTACAGATGTTTAACTTTGTATCACGCACGCCAAACAGGCATTTGTGACCCACAGTAACAGTTTTCTTTCCTAATTTAACAGTCAAAAAGCTGTCAGAAAAAGAAAACAACTTTTATGTCGGTCATTTACTCAGACATTTCTGTCACTTCAACTCTTGTACAAACCTGGCAAGGATCAGACAGGAAGAGGGGTGTTTCTTCAACAAACACACAGAATTTGTATATTTCTCTCTCCTACACACACTCTCCAGACACAGACTACATTATTATATAATGAGAACAGATTTCAGGGAGTGCCCTGCCCTTCAAGCTCAGCAGGGTCTTGAAAGGGCTACGAGTATGAATAATACAGGCTCAAGAAAGCATGTCGCTTTGATGCTTTTGTAAGAAAGTAATGCCACTGTTCACTACCGTGGCTCACAGCCAGGTTTCACTCTCCACTGAAAGATATCCGGGTTAAACAAAACTGATCCAAGGAGCCAGTTTATCTGCAATACAGCAATTCAGAAGGTGATACAGGAGGCAGTTTCATCAAAAATGCCATGTCAGCAGTCACCACCCCATTCCACTTTGACACAATACCTGTTTCAGGAAGGCCACCTGCCCTCAGGCTTAAAGGGAAAAGTACCACCGCCTCCTTAAAGACTTCGACCACACCCTTCATTCACCACTGAGGCCTGCTGGTTAAACTGCATTTGTAAACACGAGTATAAACCCCTCACATGAGCAAGAGTGTGTCAGTAGACTCAGTGACACATGGACAATGACCTTGCACCTCACTAACAGGTAGTACAGCTGCTAAAGCCTCAGCCTTTCTCTAACAATCCACACCGGTGTGAGTCATGCCACATAAAGTATGTCCTTAAAAACACTGAAACTCTTGTCTTAGCCAAACACACTGAGGGTATTCATGCCCTGTCTTTAAAATGTTTTGTCTGGCTGACAGGGATGGGCAGCTCAGATTTAATCAGTCCTACATTCTACATACGATTCACAATACCCGTGCATAATAAAGCAAGACTCGTGAAAATAGCAGACAGCAAAATCAGCAGATGGATACTTAGTACTGTCATAAAATTAGGCTGCTAATCATGTATACAAAAAGTGTGTTACTTTGGGAGTAACTTAGCTACACCTCATCCCCTGTAGACACAGCGGGCTACGGAATGGCGTTAGCTAACCCGTTCTTGACATGTTTATGATTACCACACTGACAGTAAACATGTTGATCGTAATTACCAGCACTTAGCTAAAGCAGCAACACAGAAGCTAAGAAAGCCAAACCCAACAGTTAAAGGGACACTTACTCTGGCAACTGAGCTACATTTATGAGATGCAGCACTGCATGCGAAATAGCTCGATGAGATGTGGAAGCTAACACGCTAACCTTTGCAGTTGACTCAAGTCGCTAGCCGTTTAGCTAAATGAGACAGCTACAGAGAACATAATGTAAGTGACAGTGTGTAAAACTACACGGCTGGCGTGTACTGAAGTGCTGGTTTTAAACACCACAATACTTCCTTACCTGAGGCTGACGGGAACTAGCTACGGAATCTCCAAATAACACCAGTCTTCCCAATGAATGCGATGTCTTCTGTGCTTGGGTTTCTCACTCAGCCCAAGGGCGGTAACACAGGAAAAGGGAAACGAAGCGTTCTCTGAGTGACGTCCGATCGAGCCAATAGACAGCCAGTATTCCAGGCATGACCCAATGGCATGAATCGGCCCGCCCCTTTGTCTATATACCCCAATCAAATGAGAGAGTGGGAAGTCTAACTAAAATAAAATGAAATATTCACAATCAAATTTATGAAAAGCCCTGTATCTTCAGCCATTGAATTGTGACTAAAAACTTAATAGCAATAAAAAATGTTTTATGACCTCTGTCTCTTTAGACCAAATATCAAACCCTGGATAATAATATTATTGACTATAATGAGTATTTATCACTGAAATAACAACTCTGCCTTCTGTTGGTGACTTTAAGAGGCAGCTGAAGGCCACAAGACAAACGAATAAGATGATATTAAGCATGGATTTTTTTTTTTCAGTCAACCTACTTTTTATGCCACTATACTATGACCTCTTCTGCATCTCTTGCAGAACCTTGACCACAGGCTTTGTTAGATCTTCTTTCTACATAGAAAACTGGCTTTCTCTCCTTCTTACATATAAATACATAGATGTACACAAAGCTCACATTGTGTACATTAAGCCTCACCTTACTGAGTAATTGGGAAGCTCAAGTAGAGCTCATCCTCTTTTTTTTCTTTCTTTTTTACTACACTGTGTCACACAATAGTGGAGATAGAATTTCATGTACCCCCTCGGTTCACACAATATGTGCACTGTAACAAGATACCTTGTCTGTAATGCAGAAACTTTGGGAAGAGATACACATGCTCACACATACATCCGTAGCCTATTGCTGAAATCAGATAAATTACAGTAATCCTTTTTGCTGGAGACCACTTTGTTGCAATTTGAAACCTGCTTTATACCTAAGATAACACGTTCATGTAACATATTGCGTCGGTACTTGCAGACAAAGTGGTTTACCTTCTGTGGTGTCACAAACTGTCATCTGTCTTTAACTCTTTAACATATCATGCAGCCCCTCCTGCCTCTATAAAACATTTTTAAAAATCTAGGGTGAAAGGAATTTTAAATATATTTTAAACTGTAGCACAGACTTTGTGAGAGAATATGAGACTGACTGTTTCACCATACAGGAAGTGAAATGACGAAAAGTCTTATAGTTGCACCAACTCCTAATGCTGACGCTGATCCAGTTCAGACAATGAAGAATATGTCAAGTAAAGATATGAAGATAAGCCAGATGAACCTGTTTAAGCTGAGAACAGTAATAGTGACGTCCTTGTTATGTTGGAACTCTTGCAAGTTTGTCTTTGGCTAAATCTTTTACAATTTTTAAAAAATATTCTCCATTTCACCACTGTAATAAGGCTGCTGTTATATTCCTAATGTGAACCATATTCTAGCATCACAATGCTGTTACTCATAGTCACAAAAACACTTCATGTATGTTCCATTACATAATCAGTCTCAAGCAATATAAAAATCATACAAATGTTGCTAGAACAAATTACCAATCAAATAAAGCAAAGTTAATAGTCAGGTGTTAATTCTTGCTTCAAGATAAGATAACTTAAGTATTCGTAAATGCATTGATTAATAGACATGCAGTAGAATATGAGTGTGATACATTACTAAAAATAAAAAATAAGCAAGAGAAAATAAGACCAAAATACAAAAGCAAGTATTGACAAGGATTTTGAGGTAGTAAAGTAATGTAACACCTGATAATTGAATATGAGACATGAAATTGGAATGTTGCAAATGATAATGCATATTGCAAATTAAATCACAGTGTTGAATGTTTCAGTGTAGCATTTTAATTTCATTTGCAATGTTTCTTTATCATGAGTAATATGATTTCACAGACTGTGCTAAATTACTCTAAAATGTATTGTATGACACTTATTCTTATTGTGTTGTTACAACCTAAGTAGCTATGTGGATTTTTTTTAAAAATTTTTGGCTGCTTAGCTATTTTGTATTTTTAAGAAAAGAAATGTGGCAAACTGCTATATTATACTGTAAATATCTGACAAATTATTCATGATAACGACACAACTGCACTGAATTCTATTTCTTTTCTCTACGCATGTATTTGTATTCGTACTATATATATTTAGACTTTCACACGCAATCAAAAAAATATATATGTTTTATATTTCTGGAAAAGATAAATTGGTTACATAAAGAGAAATATATATATTGAGAAAATATTTGTCAAACTTTTGTCTGTATCTTGTGCACCGTACAAGTTTACAGCGGCCTGCACCGCCCCCTGGTGTCTGATGGGAAACACTGCAGCAGCAGCCTCGGTGTGACCCGGATACAAAACGCTTTCTCATCGGCTTTCAATAGCTTCCTGCGGTTCACATTTTACCACAGTTTGGAAGAAATGGCGGACATGGATGAATTGTTCGGGAGTGATGGGGACAGCGACAATGATCAGCGAGGTAACGTTTTGTCTCAGCCGTCGACTGTGTTGCTGTTTGAGAAAGTTTCCCTGCAGAAAGTCCGGAGTTTAGCTGTGATGCTAATCAGAAGTTAGCTTCTCCTGAGCGACCGTCGTTAAAAGTACAACTCAAACTGATGTGCGTGGAGTCGATAAAATAAGAAACGATCATTTCACTGTTTTCGACACGTTAGGTTTGAGTGAAACAGTTGTACGTTCCGTCTATCTTTAATTCCGTTGGCTTTTTATTTAATTTTATTTTTACATGCTAGTTTTAACTGTGTGCTAATGATTTCTGTTTCAGTTCCCGCTGGTTTCTACGCTAGAAGGCGTTCATACAAACCACCGCAATAACATTAACTAAGAGTATTTCTATTGTCCATGCTCAAACCAGACAGATGTGCAGTGTTAATGTGCAGCACAACTTTTTAATTCAATGTACAAGTAGCCATTATAAAAAGATAACAGCATTTAGAGTGCTTAAATCATGTTTTAAGATTTGATTTACCATCATGGAAGAACGAGAGCTGCATTATCAACAACATGACATTTGTGTTTACACAGAGAAACAGCTGAAAGACGTTTTATCAGGATGAGAAAGTACTCTAAATTTGTGTGTTTTGGTCTTTTTTGAGACTCAACTGGACACAAAAAGCGTAATAAATCAACTAGAGATGCTATGCAAACATAACTTCCAGCTGCTAAATAGTTATTTAAAAGTTTCATCACATGCTGTATAGACATTATTCACTGATTCACCAGATATGAGCAGTATGGGTAAAATCTTCTATCAGGGTATATCATTTTCTAAAGATGTACTGTTTAATTGAGACAGGGGCCTATTTATGGCAAATCCCGAGCATGAAATGCCTGAAAAATCAGAGTACTTTATTACTTTGTTGCAAACTTATATAAAAGGTTCATATTATCGTAAAGCAGAGCAACTCATTAAATTTCAACATTACTTATGATGTTATATTACACACATAAATGTTATCAGAATGCCACAGTAAACACTGTATGTGACAAATTTCTGATTAGTACATTAATAAACAGAGAGTAATATAATTAGAAATGACATAATATAGATTTTTACCACCAGGCCCCTACATATAAATGGGTCCAGTGAAGATCATGTTAATCATACTTTTCATTTTTATGTGAAAGCAATTAATAGGACCTGAATCACAGTGTGTCACACAGAGTTTTAAGAACAATGCCACAACATTCACCTGTTAAGTGAGGCTTTTTCCTGCAGAGATGAATTTTTGGCAGCCCATAAAGAGGTTTTAACAGTGACCAAAGGATAATCACCAGCCCCAAAATGATGCAAATACTAAAATTAGTTTTTTAACCATTTTTGTTAATTGCAGTTTCATTTACTCAAGCCTAATACACACTTGTGCTTATTAAATGATATGAAGTAACAGGAACATGCCAAGATTTCTGTCAAAAAGGGAAACAAAGACTCACTGCGTTTCTGATCATGCTTACTGTTGTGTGCAGCCAAACCCTAAAGGCCCATTCTGAACCAGGAAAACCCCTGTAGGTGATGAACTGTGCTATGTGCAAGAAGACAAACATTCTGCTTTACCACTTTGCAGAGTCTGGCTCTGGCTCCGGTTCAGACTCGGAGCAGGAGAGACCTCGGTCTGCCAGCAACGCTTCAGGCAGCGGCAGCGACAGTGAGAGAGAACGGGATGATGATGATGATGACGAAGGCCAGGAGGCAGGGAAACCCAGTATAAATAAGGTATGTGCTATTATTTTTAGATCTTGTAGACATAATTCAGAAATGCTCTTCCTACAAGCATGACCTCAAACCAGGAATCACTTGATCAGCCATGCAGGTAAATAATGTAAATTTAGTCAATATGTAAGTCCGATGATAGCACTGAAAATTGTACTTTAGCTGCCACAACAACCTGAGACGCAACAAGGGTGTGTAGACAAGAAAGTAATGAGCATTTCTGTTACATTAGACTCTATTAATAATGTAATGCTGTTCTAGGGGAAAAAATAACTCAAAGCATATTTGCTTTGCTTGAGATCCACATCTTGTTATTGTTATGAAGTACAAATGGTAATTCTGAGCTTCAGTTTGACACTGGAAAGTGTAAGTAAATTGTAGCATGGTTTGCAAAATAATCAGATAAAATGAGACTTAAAAATGATGTAGGCTTATTTAAAATGTGTTAACAACTGGTACTTTGAGATGTCATTACATAATTAACAATATCTGCTGTGGTATTAAGCTTACCTTGGAAATTTCCGTTACCCAAATTATATTGTAGTGTGTACATAACTGTTTTTTCCTTCCACTTGATGCTACTGTAACAGAAGATTAATTTAGATGTATACTGGACTGTTGCATGTGAACTCATTGGAAAGATTAATTCCCTCACTGAAAGTTAGCTTTTGAATGTTTTGCAGTTGTCCATTAATTGTATGTCAACCCACCAGACTCTGACAAATCTTTTAAACATGATATAAAATCTGTGTTTGTGGTGTGTGTATACAATTTGGAGGGAGTTCAATGTGGGCTGTGTGCCGTAATGATGTTGATCTGTACAAGATCCAA